TTATTATTATTATTGACACTTCTGAAGAGTATGTCAAAGAACACTTCGCCTAAACACGATTCCTCGTACTCGTAAAGATTTTTCTGATATTTAGTAATACCAATAGAAATCTTTTTATATGGCTCTACGATATAACAGGATATATAATTGAACTTCTTGAATGAGTGTTTATATCAACGACACTGGGCGCTTCGCATTCATTCAAATGGTTACTTGACAACCACCGCTTAACAAAGGAGGCTATGTTTCAACGTATTATTAGAATTACTGAATAAAACATAATATTTGCAGTTAATAAAACTGAATAGACYTTTAGCGGTAAGAAAATTGCAAGACCTCTTATGATTTCCCAGATAAGGAAAGACGAATTTCCGCTTTACATATTCAACGATATCACAGACGAAATACTGCGGTCTAAGATCAAACAATTCATAACTGGAAAATACTGAAAAGGAATGAAGGATGAATAAATTTTCTTTGACAGAGAGGATAAGGCCACATGGGCTTTTTTCAAATAGCCATCTCTGTTTGGATAAAGAACAATAAAATATTTACTCAAAAAGCCAATTCCATTCAGACAGTGTTAGTATAAGGATCCTTGAGTGTCCTATGCAAATACGATCAAAGCCAAGACGAACTTTTTYCCGAAGTGGTTTGACATTAAGACTCGAAAGCGTACTAAGCGTGTTTCATAAGGAGTAAGAAAGCTTACAGAAAAACAATGTGTGGTAAAATATTCAGTGGCTGACTAGAAAGAACAATAAGAATGACTTATATCGCGGGCAAGCAAGCTAGTCGAACAGACGTGCAGCTGCTGACCTCACTGGTGGTTTTCTGTTCTGGGGCTTTTTGTAATCACTTTTTGGAAAACAAAGCCATTTGAAATTCAAAGCAAGCCAAAACATCATATTTTAGCCTGCCATCTACGGAATAATTGCTAGACAAGTGAGGTTTGGATGGCAGTGCTTTACACGACGGAGAAAGGTGTAATTCTTTTGTCCAACTATTTAGAAAATGTTCCCAAATTTTCATTGATAAATAGGTCACACATTCATGAGCAATTTAATTCCTGGAATGGCTCAAAGCAATCAGCAACTCGAGTTTGTTTTATTTTCTCTAGTAATAATAGGCAAAATATCGTTAAAATGCGCGAGTAAGGTGTGTCAATTGAACCAGACATGAAAACCATAATACCCTAAGTGATTTTCACTTACCTCGGCTTTCAATTTGATCTTCCTTGTCAAGGTATACGGTGTTCACTCGATCGGTTGCTTCTTGCCTCACATCTTCTGGAATACATTTATCTTCTAGAACTTTCAGTATTTCATTTTTATCGTGAATATTGGCGATCAACCAGTCCAATGAATTATACCTCAGATTTGATTTAGATTTGTACATAAATTTAATAACAAATGAAGTGTCCTTTGGATGACTGAGAAGGCCAGCTAACGTCATGAATCCCCGAACCGCGATTGTCCCCTGCTTGTGATTCGATATTTTTTTGAGAAGATCGATAATCCTTTCAGCATCTGGCCCTTCAAGTTTGAGACTCGCTATCCCTGTTGCTGCTGCAAGGGCATAATACGGTTGCTTTTCTTCCCGTAAGCCTTTAATGAGGGTTTTTAACCGCACTTCTTCTGGGATTAGATGAGGAGCATGTAGTAAGTTAGACACCATCTGATGTTCTTCATCCCAGTTAAAATCCAGTATGTTGTTAATCATCTTGCGCTCGTATTCATCAAGCTGTTTGTATTCAATTTTCTTGGCAAGTCGCATTGCCTCGTCAATATCTTCTTCATGGAGAAACTGACCTGTGAAGATTTACACCATAAACAACTAATTACTAAAAGCGATAATTAATTGTCTCATATATTGAAAACACGCTGAATATGATGGCCAATAGCTCGGTGGAAGACTAGTGAGCAYATTCTTGATAGAGTCAAAGACAAAAACACTAGCCAGCCTTCCTGCCTGCCATAATTCAAGAGCATACCTAATGAGCTCGCCATGTTGAATTACTTCTCAATCAATTTGATGACAGAGTGGTAGCTTTCCTTCTTTAGTAGTTTAGCCACAAATCTTCATGTCCGTTCTTCATCATGGCCCTGTTTGGGTGTGAAACCCAACACTTCAACTTGCTTGATCCAACGCAGCCGTGACAAACACCACTGAATGGAAATACTACAGTTAGTTAGTAAGCCCACAAGTAAGCGGTTCGTGACTTGGTTCAATACTGTTACAGCTTAGCGCTATTTGACCACCGAACCGTAATGTGGGGAATTCCGAGACTTTTTCTCTTCCCTCGCCCAGTAAAGATTATAGATGGATGTTGTCTGACTGTACGACGAAAATCTAATAGCCAATAGTTATGTAAAATATGAATGGTTCAACGTTGTCATACGATACAACGTTTATCAGTTTAGAAGATGAAGAGAATATCGAAGCAGCTGTCTGATCTGGGTGAGCTCATGGATACATCCGGGGATGTAAGTCAAAACCAGACGGTCCGTTCGTCACGCAACTTGAACAACTAAAAATAATAAAATGATAGAAAAAAAGAAAAGCAGAGTAAAAGAGAAACAGGCAAAAAAACTTGTAGAAGAGAATAACTCCAGAATTTTTTTTACTTTTTTACGAGTCRAACTTTTTGAGATTATCAGTATGATTTCTTACAAAATGTCAGTGGAACGAGTCACAGACGCCTTAAAATTTATGTTTGTTGATTTTTTTWAACGAAAACTGTAGATATGCGTATAAAACTAAACATGTGCGAACAAAGGTTTATTTGCATGAATGTATTCAGTTCTCAGAAGTTGTCTTTAATGTCTCTCTAATGTTTTTTAATTCAAATTGCACTTCATGTTTTTATAAGATTGGCTTACTCAATGCTCGATTTTCAGCCAGACAGAACTTTCTATAAAGAGCGACGGAAAAGTGATTGCATATATTCATGATGCAAACGCGGATGGCCACACGTTATCATGGGTTATAGATTTCCAAGGAAAGTCACTTGTAAATAAAAAATCCATAGAAAGCTACTTTAGAAGAAAAGAAAATGGAAAATAAAACAAAAAGAATGAAACTCGAAACATATAAATCGAATTGAATACTATACTATTAAATTTCCACTCTAAAACACCTGTCCTGGTGAAGCCATTCAGTCACGCGCACGTGCAGCTTGAAAAAATAAATTAACAGCAATTATAAAGATGCACTTCTTACTTTCGTTTTCTTATGGATGATAAAGGGACTACCTTTTTTAGCGTAAACCCGATACAAATGATCTCAAATCCKGCGCTCATCGGACTGGCTGATCTACTAGTGGAAGGTCTATTAGTGATAGGCCACTAGTAGCGAAAAGTAACGGTTTTGAAAACCAAAACAACGCAAAAAATATTATATTTCAGCCTAATTTCAACATTGTTTGTATCATTTATTTGACTAATTACTAGATACTGAAACAATTAGGCCTCGACTCTCGCACTCATGCAGGTCCTGGCGCATCGAACTTCCCCGTCATGGGCAATTAAGTGGTAGACCATTCGGGATGCAGGTCTAATTGTCAAGGACGTTTGTGTGCAAATGCAAAATAAATGTCAAGATGCATTATCAAATGTACAAATATTTTCTGGAGGAGTAAAACATCATGTATGAACTGCCTTACTCAGGGTAGTAAGAAAAATAAAAACATGCGGCCGTTATTGGAATAAAAATATAAAAGTTATGAATTATTGTGTCACTGTTATCAAGCGCATATTAGCAACGTTATTTTTTTCATTTGGTGGCCTGCAAATCCGTGTTTTCAAGAGAAAAAGTGATAGCTCAGTTTTGCAAACTTTGTTCCTATTCTGATTGGGTAACAATTTTTCTCAGATCGTCTGGAGTGTTTCAATTTATAAATGATCAACAAATAAACTCATAATGAAACATCTTTGATGTCACACTCATTAACATATTGGAAGTATAAACCTTGATACTTYCAAGCATGATGTCACTCAATGCAAACTGATATCAAAATAATTTACCATTCTACTATTCATTCGTGTACGATTCGGAAAATATGGAGTTAGGGGTGAGGGACACTTTCACTTTGTTCAGTTCATCTCATCATTTCGCTTATTTTGTATCGAACCGACCAAAAGTTTTTTTTAAAACATGAAATATGCCAATATCCTAAATTACGTAGAAGAGATGACGTCATCACACATATACAAAAAACTATCCATTTTATGCATGAGATTTGAACAATCGCTTAGAGATTTTTATCCTTTCCATAGCAACTGCATGTGGCTGGTAAATACCAGAAGTTAATCTGCTAGGAAAACTACATTATGAAAGTCTCGTATAGGTAGACGTTTCATTCAGTAAAAGCTAAAATAACGTTATCTGAGCTCGAGGAATAGTTTGAAAAGTTTTGTTGATTGTAATCAGTAGGACTATAGTTCCAGACATCGAGGGCTGAAGCGTTGTATGGCAGCACAAAGAATTTACGGCTATGCCGGAGCTTTCGGCTGCGACATCGCTATCCCTATGGATATCTCCAGACTGATCAGGAAGCTCGGCCGAAGCCTAAAGGAAAGGTTAGTCCTAGATGACGTAGGTTACTCCTAGATGATTAACCCCTTGCTATGACCAGCAGACCGATATGTGGCATGGGTCGCGCTAGCACTAACCTCCTATAGTCACTCTTTTCCATGTGGGATGCCTTTTGAGGTACTAGCACCGCCAAAATTTAACTGCATTTTTTTTTTGCTATGTCTAGTAATTTTTTTGTATTGTATTGGTAGACGTTTCAACTGGTTCTTTAGCCTTCTTCAGTAAAAGCTGAAATCTCAAACTATCAGCTATTGCTTTTCGCAGGCCAATTCCCGCACCCGCACCCGCACCCGCACCCGCACCCGCACCCGCACCCGCACACCATCAGTCCTGAATTCCTGAAATTCGTTTTCATAATAGCTTTTAGTTTTTTCGCTTTTTAAAAAAATAAGTTTCTTAGGCCTGGTTCGGGTGTCGAGGTTCACGCGTGCCGAATCCCATGCGAATTTGAGTAACCTTTTGTTGGGTTCGTTTGCGATGTATTCGGCGCGTGTGGGCATCGACGTCTGAAGTAGGCCTTATAGTTATAGTAAACGTTTTCATAATTGTAAATATATTTTTTAGTTAAAGTCATTTTAATATATATATCAAGAGTTGTAATATTATACATATATATACATATATTTATACGGCTCCCGTTGATAGTAATATATCCCCACTGAAGCCATTATCACGTCGCAGTATGATTAAGTTATGGGGCGAGATCCGCGACGATGATGAGGCAAACAGCGAGAAATAGGGAAAACGAGAACACCACCGCCACCAGGCTTAGGGCCGGGGTGGGTGGGTGGGGAAAAATTCGTACTTCGAAGGTCCAAACGACGTTATGCAATGAGTCATGTGTATTGACTTAATTTATACTGCTTGGTGATAATTTATTCAGTGAGAATAGTAATATATCCTCACTGAAGCCATTATCACGTCGCAGTATGATTAAGTTATGGGGCGAGATCCGCTCCTTGTCCCCGACWATACAACGAGATGGTATATAGCCAAACTCCAGTCSTAATAGTGCATAATAACTAATCCAGTAGTAATATGCCACTGAACCTTTATTCTTACTATGCTCAACCCCATATACCCAATACTCAAAAACCCACATCCAATACTCAAAACCCACATCCAATACTCAAAACCCGCATCCAATACTCAAAAACCCACATCCAATACTCAAAACTTAAAGCATAATGCCGGCTAATAATTCCACTATCCACTACTCAAATATCCTGCATGTATAATCGGTGTGAAATCGGCGCTAGGACGTGTAACCAAAGGAACAAAGCCCAACGAAGTCCAAAGCAGTAAAATGCAGGACCGAAACACAACAAAATACCAAAAACCAAGTTTATACAGCACTCAGTAAATTATCAGGGTGAGAGACCGGGACGTCTGCCAATGCCTCCGCCCTGGACCAACAAAGGGTGGGGTTTCCTCGGTAATGCACCTCAAGGGGATCGCCCCTTCAGGGATTAGCCTTTGAGCAACGTGAAGTCTCGAAGCAAATGGGGAACCATTTACCTAGAACGCAACCAAAACCAAACAAGGGTGAGCGCGACTAAGTAACCCCGGAAACCCGACCCTCTGTTGGCCCTATAGGCTCTGAACTAGGTCCGGAATTAGAGCACTGAGAAGGCCCCCCCAGGGCCAACGGAGGACGCTACAAGATAATCCCAGATGATGAACAGCGAGAAAAGGGAGAAAGAAATTCTTCCCATAAATGACAGGGTTTCAGGGAACCAGGAAACCAGGGTTTCCAACAGCTCAACAGCTTCGTAACGGTCAAACAGCGACGCCAGCCTATTAAGGTGTCCTTAGTGCGACCAAGGCGTTCTCGCAGGACTCGACGACTTTTTCTCTTTCCAGGGCCTTAACCTTCTGTTCTAACAACTCTAAGCGATCCGCAGGCTGTAAGAATACGCAGAGAGGGATTAAGTCAGTACTCTTAAACTACGAGACCAACTTCCGGCCCAATTCTAAAAAACGCAGTGTACAACCATGGCTGCCCAACCACGGGTGCCAAAAAGGGGGTTACGCTCCCGTGGCTCTCCAAGCCCTTTAACGTACTACAGTACAACACAAGTATTRGATACAAAACACTCTGCTCGCGGCTCTCCAGGCAGCATTGGTTCTCCAGGCCAATCTAACTCAAATTATTACGCGACATACTCGCGGCTCTCCAGGCCGTTAGCTCTACTCATATTGGCTCTCCAGGCCAAACTAACTCAAATTAATTGCGCGGCATATTCGCGGTTCTTTAGGCCGATATAAAACTTATTTTAAGAAATAAGTAACCGGAATAATAGCCCCAAGAAACTGCACAAACTACGAAGATAAATATCACACAAAAGCACTAGGACCGCGTGAAATAAAAACGCTGAAGCAGATCCGTACACCAAAAGACTCCCCAGGGCAAAAAAGTGTAACCTACATAAAAGGCTAAAACCGATGAAACCAAGGGCGCTAAAGCCACAAGCCGTGAACAAAGAGCCAAACCAACCAAGTGTGACGAGGGTAGAAATRAATGCAAATCTGAAGGGTAAACTACTTGAGTAAAACTATAACTGCGCCCAAAAATACCATATAATAACGTATAAAATAGTAGTAGCATGCCTTGGATGCAAATCGGAAGGGAAACTACTCGAGTAAAACTATAACTGCGCCCAAAAATACCATATAATAACGTATAAAATAGTAGTAGCGTGCATTAACAAAACCACGAGATCCAGATAAACTGGCAGGAAAAAAATAGCGCCAACACAAGGGAATAACAAACTCTCCCAGATAAAAGAACTGCAGCAAAATTACCTGCTGCTCGCCAGCCGGTGGAACTACTGCTCCCGGCGCTT